ACATCTTCCTATGCATATAGCCCCACAGCAAAGAATTGTTTGGCCAAAATGTCAATGGTTCCAAGAAACTTCACAAACCACTTTTGACAGGCTCAATCAGTCACAGTACCTTCTCCATATACTGCACAAATCTTTTTGGCATTTCAGTTCCATTTTTACCTTTCTTGAAATAATAAAGCATAATATGCCAAAAATGTTGCATATTTTTTCCATCTTCAATATTAAAATGGTTGCACAAAAATTAACCAATTTTGGTAAATTTTTTTTAAATGCATGCTGATATGACAGCTGTCATAATACAAATCTAACAAAATTATTTCAAATGAAGTTAAAGACAACTAAGCACTACTAGAGCCACTGTATGGAAAAAACTAAATGAACTTTTCGGTCAACCCAATATTCTGAAGAACTAAAAAAAGCCTTTATTTTAGAGGTAACACTTGACATGAGTCTTATAAAAGATCAATGATAGAATCCAAAATAAGATTAAGAAAACAATTCCATTTAAAATATTATCAAAAATAAAATATTTAGGACAAAACTTTAACAGGGAGGCAAAAACTTATACACTGAAAATTACAAAATGGTACTGAAAGAAATGAAAGAAAACACAAATAAATGGAAAGACACCTCATATTCATGGACAGGAAGTCTTAATATTGTTAAGATGTCAATACTACCCAAAGCAATCCCTATCAAAACTCCAGTGATGTTTGGCAGAAATAGAAAAATAATCCTAGAACTCAACTTGGAATCTCAAGGGACCATGAATAGCTCAAAAACCTTGATAAAGAAGAACAAAGTTGGAGGTCTAACATTTCCTGGGTACAAAATTTACTACAAAGCTAAATAATCATGATCGTGTGGTACTGGCATGAAGACAAACATATAAATTAATGGGATAGAACAGAAAGCCCCGAAATAAACTCTCATGTATGTGATCAAATGGTTTTTGACCAAGGGTGCCAAGACCACTCAATGGGGAAAGTACAGTCTTTTCAACAAATAGTGTTGCAAAAACTGGGTATTCACAAGCAAAGGAATGAAGTTATTAGACCCTTACCTTACACCATATACAAAAATTAACTCAAAGTGGATCTAAAATATAAAAGACTAAAACATAAAAGCTAAAACTATAAACCTCATAAAAGAAAACAACTTCATTACCATACTGTGTATTTAATAATTATTTGTTGGATATGATACCAAACCACAGACAACAAAAGTAAAAATAGATAAACTGAACTAAATTTGAAAACTTCTGAAGTTAAAAATTAAAAGCCTTTTAAAATTTAATAAGTTAAAAATTAAAGCTGGAAAAAATACATTATATTTAAATAAGTGGCATTATAATAAATTCTGAATATATTCAAATGCACCATTTACCATAAAAGCCATAAATATTAAACTAATAAACTGCATTCAAATGTGTTTTAGTTAATGTTTTTTAATTGAATTAATAGAACAGCCTAGAAAGACCCAAAGATACCAGCACCCAAACAGATTCCCCACAAAGGACACATAACAAAGGGCATATTCTCTCCATCTTTTGGAGGAAAATACAAAGCAAGAAAAGTGTAATATTCAAATGACTATCCTAAAATTTTTCATTTTTCTTTTTATGAGATAAGTGCACTTGGAATCTTTTATCATGCTAACCAAGCACACTTTTCTCATTTTAAAAAAATTGCAAGGACTATTATAATTCCAGTAAGCCTAATTTTTAGCAATCGCTCAATCTAAAATACATCTTAACAAAATTACAGTTCACTAAAATAAAAAAGAAATAAAAAAGAAATCATATTCATTTGCATGCAAAAAACTTTCGGTGCAATTTCATCATTGTAAAATGTGGAGAAATGCCATAGAAATGTATAATTTTCAATATCTTCTTAGCTCTTTGAGCTGCTGCAATGCTAGCAAGGGAGAAAGTGCTATTTTATTCTGGGAAAAGAGGATCCAAGTAGGAAGCTGAGACACAGACTCTGCTGTCAACCGCCCCCAGCTCCCTCAAGCAGCTACCGACATAGGCCTGTGTGTACGTGGCATGCATGAAGAAGTGCTCGGTCTCTACCCATCAGGTATTGACCAGAACTAAGTTATTAGCACCATATCCAGATGTACAATTCAAGAATTGATGTAAAAGTTCATCAATTCAGAACCTGTTAGTTTAAAATTTCTAAATTACTCATTGTCCTGCAAATTTTCAGCAATATGTTCACATATTTGTATCTAAAATTCAGTCCTTTTTTTAAAACAAAAATGTTACATTTTAATAGTTTGCTTCTTTTAACTTGCAAATTTTAAAACACTATGAAAATTAGACAAATAAGATTATTCATGAATTATAATATTAAACTACTTTTCAAGTTAGTTTTACTTCATGATATGTACTTAAGTTCATTATCAATATTTTAATGATTAAATTTATTTTCTTTAGAAACTATCTTGCTTACCATTAAGCCAAACTAGCTCTGCCTCCATTACTTTGAACAAATACGATTTTAATATTTTTGTATAGGCATACACATATACATAGTTTATTACAAAGTTTGTTATATATCCATGGAATATATCTACGGTCAATAGATATATTCTTCTAAAAGTTGGACTATACCATTTCAGTAGTTTATAAAACATGACACAAAACAAAATCACATTATTTTACTGATACTATTGAACTAAGCAAAACTGAATCTGAGTTATTCTTTTAAAAAATAAATCTAATGATGTAAAATATTGACAAAAGTCCATATATCGAACATTCTATCTAAATAATGCATAAATGAAGTACTGAATTAGACTTCAATAAAAACTTTGCATATGGATATTCAAATATTTATATTTCTTATAAAAGTCAACAAAAACAATAATCAAAAGCAATAGTGTAATATACACATAAAGATTTAAAGCAAGATTAACAGTGATTATATAAGGGGGACTGAGTGCTTTTCTCCCTCTATTTTCCATTTTTTGGTAATGTTTTAAATTTATGGAAAAACATATACATTTTTTTAAGCAACAGTCTCTGGGATCAAGAAGGGAATTGCAGGGGTAGGGGTCTTTTCTAAAATGACAAACAACGCCCTTGGGTCCACAGTCATACTACAGCTAAAGTTGGGTTCACAGTCATACTAAATTTCACATTCCTCAGCACACAATGGATCTTTTATCAATACTGGAAACTGCCTTTGTGGGAATATTTGCTAAAAATGGATGGAATTCTCAGTGTTGCAAGCACCCATTTAACTATTTAAAAGAACAATAAATTAGTGACTAATTTAAAATGTTTCTTGAGTTCGGAGATATTTAAATCACAACAGAAGAGACCTACATCTACCACTTTCTCCAGAGCTGTCAGAGAGAACAGACTGAGTTTGTTAACTGTGGGCTTTCCCATCAAAACTGTCAAGAGTTGTCTTCTCCTTGGCCGAGCAATCATGTTAAGTCCTAGTTCTACTTGACTCATACATATTATTTAATTGTTTGCATATTTGTTTGTTTAGACATATATATACTTTGCTCCACAAAAGAACTTAACCAGCAATTAAATGAAACCCAATCTTCATGCTCGCCTCATCCTAAAAAGATGTGCACTTTTGAACGGGAAACTATAAAACTGCATAGAGACAATATAATATTAAGTTAAAAAAAACGTGTATCTCAAAAGATCATGTACAACCTGATACCCTTTTTATAATTTGCCCTGGCCTGGTGGCTCAGTTGGTTCGAGCATCATCCCATGCACCAAAAGGTTGCGGTTTGATCCCCAGTCAGGGCACATTATCTAGGTTGTGGGTTCAATTCCCCTGTCAGGCATGTATAGGAGGCAAGTAACAGATGTTTCTCTTTCACACTGATGTTTCTCTCTATCTCTCTGTCTCTGTCCCTGTCTCTCTTTCTCTCTCACTCCCTTTGTCTCTCTCTAAAATCAGTAAGCATATCCTCAGGTAAGGATTAAAAAAGATTAAAATCAATTAAAAATACATATACTTTGGGAGAACACAAGGAAATAAATGCTGACTTCAAGATTACAGTTAGCTTAAGTGAAAGAAGGCTAAGAGGTGGATTGATGAAAAGAAAAATAAGGTCAGATTACTACCAAAAACAACATCATAGATTACTGCATAGCTTTCATTTTAGGTTGGGGATTCCCTGGTGATTACGATATTAATTTAAGACAGCTAGTTAGATAGATAGACAGATAAACAGGTAAAAGTAGACTAAGCATAGACCAATGACAAGGTGTGTTATGAACTAAGGGCTACTGAACCTGAAATGACATGATGTGAAATAATGAGATGAATTTCCTTTTCGTATGAAAGGAAATGAAAATGAAAGTGGTTTACAGTCTTTAGACTCACACCTAATCTATGATCTGGATCAACTCAAAAGCCACTCATCCAGGTTATATAATTTTGTGCTTCTACTTCCCCAACAATTTTCAATTGTGCTGCACAAAGTGACATGTTCTCCAGTGGATGTGAGACCTTGCACCGTCAGAGGTGGACCTTCTGCTCAGAAGTAGTGCCTACAGAGGAGGGGGGAAAGTAGCACAGAGGAAAATGCGGCTGGGTCATCTACTGACTCTCTGGATTAGGGCTGGCAATCCCCAAAACCTCTGAGTGGACAACTGGTGCTTCTTCCTCATTCATTCAATACTTATAAAATGCCACCTACATGTCAAGTGTCATGCTAATCCTCAGATCTTTCAGGTTCAGGATTAGGACACTCCTAACAAATACTTGAATCCAGTCCATCACCTTTCATAAAGCCTCAGAATCAATATATTCCTCAGGTCCAAGAATCAAGATGACTTTTCAGGCCTTTAATGTAGCTTCTTACCCACACAAGAAAATGCTGAAGCAGCTCACTTATCAAGTAAGGTTATACTGGCTTCTCAGAGTTAAAAGATGTCAAATCTCTATAAGCAGAATTGGGGGGAAAATTACTTCTTCAACAGATGACGTTTCATACGAGTGTGCTGCTTTTTCTTTTACCTGCAATCTCCAAAAGTGGGTTTACATGATCTCCTTCTGCCAACTTCACAAATCCAACCTGATTTCCAAATGTGTCAATCCCCTGAAAGGGCAAAGTCAAATGTCTTCCCTGAAGGATTTCTTCTATGAGTGGTTGTAATTCCAACAAAGCATCAATACCACTAACAAGAGATAATATATTTTTCAGTAACATATTAAGTGATAAAATGTACAACACTAAACATGAAATAAAGTCATCAGTTTTAGAAATATAAAGTAATCTTGATATTTGCACTAATTTATTAGCACAAAATATCTTCAAAATCTAATCTATATAATTAAAATAAAGATAATGTTAATTTTTAAACAAAACTATGGAAGAATTGAATTAAATCTTTACCTAATTATAATGTCTATTATATTAAAGACATGAAAGAAACTATTTTATAGTTCATCAAAAATTTTTCAACAAAGAAATACTGCATGTACATTTCAGAAAAAATGACTCATAATATAGTTCAAGAACCCTAACACCTATAAGAGCTTACGACAGATTGTGTGAAAAGTACATTAGAATCTTGTTAAAAGTACTATTACTCACACAGTATTTACTATTTGCAAGGCACTCTACTAAAACTTAATATAAATTATCTCTTAAAATACGTCTCCATAATAAAATAATTTACTGTACTTGGATTCAACAAAAAATGTAAGTTTATATTTGCCAAATACAACGATATAAGTTTGTTATATGTGCTTCACCTATGTCATTATAGAGCTATTCTATTTCAAGTCCTTGACTTTTCCTTATAAAATCAAATATTTACTACATTAATTAATTAGACATTATCAGGTCTAGAATAGTTTATAAATTAGGATCAGTTATTTCTGTCTTAAAAAGGATTTGGGTACAGCTACTCTATTATGAGAAAGAAAATTAAAATCTCACTAGAGGGCAGCAATTACTCAAAAAAGAAATAAGTGTATTCTTAGTTTATGGAGAGGGCTTTGAAACAAATACCTCCTAGTGAACCACCATTAAATTATCTTGATCAGTGATTTGCTCAACAATAATTACATGTTAAATGTATATAAAATTTAGGTATTTTTCTAGATATTTCATATCTATAAATTAGTTTTCACATAAAGTTTTTAACTGATGATCCTCCATAGCTTCTACAGTGAGACTCATTTCTGTCACAGCATAATATACAATACTTAAAATAGCTCTGGAAATGTCAACATTTCTCATTAGATCTCCAAATCCCCATTCTAAATCCAATCTCTCCTGACTGTATTTATGTTCATCCAAAAAGACACAATGCACACATTTCTACTGGAATACTGTCCCTCGCCATGTGCTCTGAGTTAAAGCATGTAACAGCAGAACAGCCACTTCTGGCTCATCTATCATAAATCAGAGGAATTCAAGATACTCATTTTAAATGTAACTATGTGCTAAAGCAAACCATCTAGAGGTTAGGGCTTTTCAGAGACGGAGAATTCTATATCCCAATTTTCTTTAAAGAAATATAGATAATCTAAACTTAGCCCAATTTTTCAGTTCTCTAGTTACATAAATCAATACATTTGTCTTACAGAGATGTCATCAATCACAAAGTAAGAAGGAGTCAGAGATCTACGGTAAGTATTACTAACTTTCAAATTCTTTTAAATAGAGTATCTTTTCAAGAGTAGTTTATGAAAAGACTTCTGTGTGGTAAAACGAGGAAAAAGTATACACATAAAGGAAACAGAACTCTGAAACTGGAGGTCAGCCCCAAAGACTGTATCTGAAATTTAGATAGGACAGCCACCCCCCGAGGGAGAGGGAATTCTGCCTCCAGTCTGCCACTGGACCTGAGACTGCGGCATCAACTCTTCCGGGTCTCCGCCAGCCAGACTGCCCGACAGACTCTGGACTTGCGAGGCCCCACAATTAGAGGAGCTAATTCCTTAAAGTAAATATACATATAGATATATGTGATACACAGGTAGATATAGATAATGATAAATAGATAGAGGTAGGCAGAGAGAGATATCAAAATATCTAGATAACCACATAGAGGCTCTGTGGAATCTGATGAGTTCTGTTTCTCTGGCGCACGCTGGCTCACACCCTTCTAACACACACAGGGCAAGTTCTCTTTTTCCCTAGGGCTTTCATCTGTGTTACCACTTCTTTGGTCTGTTTTATTTTAAGACCATCAGAGTTTTGTTTTTGTTTTCATTTTTCTTCTGACTGCCAAAATGAACAGTTAAAGTCAGCCAAGATTTCCACTTCTCTCTGCCATTGCAGGGTGCTCAAGACTTGCTCTTGGGTAGAGCAGGTTGGGGTACATCAGAAGCCTGATCTCCGAAGACATGAGGTTCTACTGTTTAAAAGACAAAACTACTAGAATCACAATGATGCCCTGGCTAGGGGCTCAGTTGGTTGGAGTGTCATCCCATGCACCAAAAGGTTGCTGGTTCGATTCCTTAAACTTGAGCTAATTCCAGAGGGCTATACAGGAGGTAACAGGAAAGGGGTGATCTCATGGGATACAGAGTATCCCAGAGAATCCCAGGGTGGGGAGCAAGGTTTCTGGACTCCAGGTTGGAAAGCAACAGTCAAAACTTTTGTGGCACAAGTCTAGTATTGGGAGTGGGGAAAGTACAGGGATTCCAAGACTGAGAGAGGCAAAGCTGAAATTCTACACTGACCTAGCTGAACAACAGTTCTAATAGATAATAATACTGGGTGTCTACTATGTGCCAGGCCCTATATTGAGAACTCTTACATCTATTAGTCCTGTTATTTTCTCCATTTACTTAAAAAGTAAATAATTTTTTCCAAAATCAGGCACCTATTAGGAGATGATTATGCCATGGCGTATTCCAGAGTCTTTACCTAGAATCCTAACCTACACAGCCAGGCTCCAGAGTGCCTGCATAATTAACATGGGCAAAAAACTGCATAATCAAGGGCTACCATTTGATAAGAAAAACAGAGCTTAAAGTCTAGATTAGAAAAAGCATTTACACAGCTAATTCTATACACTGACTATTAATTGGAATAAATTAATACAATAAAGAATACTTCTGTAGAATTTAAGTGCCTTTTGGGTTCCGCTATGTGTATTCATATCAAAGTAATACTTTGAAAAACAACGTTCAAGAAAGACACATTACTCACATGTTTACTTCATCTTCATTTAACAGCTGCATCACCAGCAGGGTAATGTGAAAGGAACCATGACCAGTCATTGCCTTGGCCAGCCGCTTATCTTGTTGGATTATTGCATTTTGCAGGATCTTAATTCCTCTTGTAATCTAATCCTCACACATACACACAAAATAGAGATTAAGTAAGCAAAATTTCCTTATGGCAAAATGTAAATCAAAAAGAAAGTTAAGCAACAAACCAAAATTAGAAATGGCAAAACCCTTCAACCTTCAATCCTTCAAATAATACTTAATTGTCTACCTGTTCTCAAATATTCTAATAGATGGCTTGGAAAGCTTAATAGCATGTATAAGTTTTAAAAATCATAAGATGGACAGTGCTTGTCCATCTTAAGAACATGGAGCCTAACATCCTTATTTTGCAGGCTGGGTCACTGGTTGAGTAGAAAAACTTTCAATGGCGTGCATTTCCTCAGAAACTTGTCTTTTGAATGTACAGTATGACTTACTATAATTATGATCTTCCCTAAAAAGTTTTATTCTTGCATAGAAAGATCAAACTAGCGAACAACAATCCATTTCTGTTGAAAGTCATATTTATTTTTTCCCTAATGAATGTGTCTAAGAACTCATCCTTCATGGCCTTATTTAAGACTTTTTAAAACAGCAATAATTTCAACTGGAACAACCACAGTCATTTTTCCAGATGTGTGAGGAGGAAGAGTGGCAAAGAAATGCAAACAGGTGTGTTAGAAAAGCCGTTACCATTTGCATCCAGGGGAAGTCCCAGGTCCCTTATCAGCCTCTCCTCTCACTCTCTACTTGGAAACAAGAAGAAGAATGATGCCTCTTCCCTCTTTGGGTCCAGTTACATCCAGTGCTAGCCAACTTCTAAATGTGAATGTACTGGAAAACAGTTCAAATACGAAGTAGTAACCTGGGCTCTACCTGAGAAAAGAGAGCAACAGGGAGCCCTGAAGCAGCGGAATCCATCAGAGAGAAAGGAGAGGGGGAAGGGGGGCATGGCCTCAGAAGCAGAGTCAGTGAGAAGACAGAGAGATAAGGAAAAACTGAATCATGAGCACAGCAGACTGCTCTGAGACTAGAGCAGCTGTTTCATCCTGAGCAATGCTCCCCTTTTCTGAAGAGAGAGACTGGGCGAATCATGGGATGCTCTCCTGGGACCTGACTGCTCAAGCGTCTTTACAATAAATCTACATCACCCAAAAGAACCTCGGCATTTCTCTACTCCTTGTAACCTGGAAGAGAGGAGCACAGGAAACAGCATTTTCCTGGGAGGAATTTACACAATAACCGAACATAATATTTGCCTACACAAGATGTCACTTCTATGCCACCCAAGAAAAGAATACTGATGGCCTGGTAAATATAAAATGCTCGTAACATAACAGTATGCAAAGATCTTATAGAGCCACAGTTCCCTCTACTCTATTTTGATAAAACTAAATTATAAACTTCTGAAGGGCAATATCTAAATCTTCTAGCTCACCATCTTACCACAGTGCTGGCTAATAATAATAAAAACAATATTTAACCAATGACAGAAGTAACTAACCGTTATTGTGTGGCCACTTGGTTCTAGGCACTACAGTAAATGTCTTACATATCTTAATTCACTGAAGCCTCTCTTTGATCCTAAGAGGTAGACATCGGTATTATTTCTAGCTAAAAAGTTGAAACACAGAAGGTTAAAAAAATCCCTTTAAGATCATACACCCCAAACAGTAAAGGACCTTGAAACAAGAATAAATTGCAGTATATGAGAAAAGATGAGGGAGGCACCTAGAAGAAAAGGATCAGGAAAGGTGAGGAGGAGGAGACGTAGCTAAAGGGCACTGGAGTCAGAGTTACAAGAAATTTGTTTTCACGGAGGCAAGGAAAGGCTCAGAGATGTGGGTGCTGACTTAAGAGATGTAACACCAAGGGGAAAAAGGCATCTGAAGGAGATTTTTTTAGGAAATCTTACCAGATACTAAGTAATGGAATACACCATCCTCAGAAAAAAAAAAAGGCTATAGTGTAAGTCTATATTAAATGTTAAATGTAAATTTAAGAGTTTTTTTTCCCGGTGCAATGAAGTGCTGAAATTTGCTTTTGGGAATAACAAAGCAGCTCAGGAAGGTCCAGGTTCGTATAGAAAGGGCCTAAATAGGTTCTCAAAGATGTCAGACCTCAAAACAATATAATTACATCTGCTAACCTTAGCTGATACTGATGGTAATTCTGGTTCAGCTGTAATGAAAAAGTGGCTGAGGATGCGAACTTTGTTATGTAACAGAATGATGTAACCAATGAAGGCTGCCGGCCCTGCCGCAGAAATCCTCACTTTGAACCCCATGTCTGCCACAGGTGTGACCCCATCCAAGTCACCCCGTCTCACTGGGTCTCGGTTTCTCTCACTGCCAAACAGGAATAATGAAATGTGCACTGCCAAACTTACAAAGGTGTGTTAAAGACCACGGCAGACAAGCTACACGGTAAACTCTACCATTTGCCTAACATAAGGTCTGCAACATTGGTGATATTGTTAAAATCAGTGGTTCTCTATCCTGGGCAATTTTGCCTCCCAGAGGATATTTATTTGGCAATGTCTGGTCACATTTTGGTTGTAACAACTTAAAGTTTGCTATTTGTATCTCATGGGTACAGTATTTGCATTTTCTTAGTTTTAAAACATTAGTTTTCATTCTAAGGTCAAATAATAATTATATATAAATTCAGGACAACACTCAAAGAATTCCATTTATTTGCATATGCAACATTTTAGTGCAATGTCCTACACATGGTAAAACAGTTTTAGACCATTCATATCTTTGAATTATCCAATAGCTTGTAAAGTTGCTAATTAAAAATCGTACAACACTTTGAAGACAATTTCTCTGAAGTCGCACAGTACTTATAATGCAAGGTTAACCTCAAAACTATGAAAATTATAACATTAACCTAATCAAGTAACATATGTCTAATTATTCTTTGATGGGCCAGATTAATTTATGTATTCCTTGATATCATCTTAACATTTTTGAAACACATTTTATTCCTAATTGCATTCTTAAGAGATAAAAAGAAAAAATACTTCAGAGTCTTGTCCGTGTGCCATTAAAAAAGTACCAAAGTCATTAAAGGCCAAAGGAAACCTAATTTTTATAGCCATTGTTTAAAATGCTATAAATGCATTAAAGCTTATCTTTCACCATAACCCACAGCCATTGGCAGTATTGCACAATGACTAATACTATAAAGTCATATTAAAATATGACATTGAAAGAAACTTTAATAATAAAAAGCTTTATTAACTTCACTTCTGGTCAAGACGGCAGTATTGACAGACATGGCTCACTTCTTCTTACTACCATATCAAAATTACAACTAAAATATACAACAACAGTCACTGAGAACCATCAAAAATTGAGTTGAATGGAACTCTAACAACTATGGAATTAAATAAACTCATCCATCTAGACCAGTAGGAGAGTTGCAGATGCAAAACCAGCTGGTCCCTCACCCACATATAGTGCATACAAATTCGGGAAGAATTTCTCAGAGCACGGAGTCCCAGACCAGGGTCCCAGTGCCAGGAAGAAAAGTCCCTATAACTTCTCATTGCAAAAACCAGTGGGGATCAAGTCAGTGGAAGAAACTTCTGGAGCCCCAAGCAGTTCCTCTTAAAGAACCCACACAAGGACTCACCTATTCAGACTCACTCCCTCTGAGTTCCAGCACCAGGGTGGCAGTTTGAAAGGCACCAGTAGTATACAGACAGAAACTGAAGGGTCTGGCATCAAAATGAGCAGAGGCCACAGTCCCTTTTCTAAACCCTCCCCCTACACACAGAGCCAGCAAGCTGGTGACAAATCTGAGACTCCATCAACTTGGCTAACACTGTTTGACTCATCGACAGAGAATCTGACCCACCCAACTTACACACCAACCCAACTTTCAACCCACCCAAGCTGTTGTTCCATATGAATGGCTGGTCTTGATTCATGCTTCACAACTTCCTAAATTGTATCAAACAAGCAGCAGCCAGCCTAGATTCACAGCTTCTCCTGGGAATCTCCAAGCCCACCACCAATAGCAGCCATGTCAGATTGCTTTAAAGCTCAGGCAGAGTAGACTCAGACAAAAACATAAGCAAGACTGACCTTGCCCCACATCACCCAGGAAACCTGTCAACCTTCACACCAGTGGACATCCACAGACCACACCAGAGCACCACCATGCTGCCCCCGCACAGCTGATCCTCCACAGCGGGTGGAGGTTGGTCGTCAGAGGTCATGGTCAATCCTTACAGCTGACTGGCCTGGGTAAATCCCACCCATTGACCTGTGAACAACAATCAAGGTTCAACTATAAGAGGAAGGTGTACTCAGCCCACACAAAAGTATACCCTGAGTACCTAGCTTGGGGATAGGAGAGGCTGTGCCACTGGACCCTACAGGATACCTACTACATTAGGCCACACTACCAAGACACAGAGTCAAAGCAACTCTTCATAATACATGGAAACAAACACAGGGAGGCTGCCAAAGCAAGGAGACAAAGAAACATGGCCCAAATGAAAGAACAGATCAAAACTCCAGAAAAAGAACTAAATGAAATGGAAACAAGCAATCAATCAGATGCAGAGTTCAAAACACTGGTTATAAGGGTGCTCAAGGAACTTAGTAAGGATATTAACAGCATAATAAACATCCAGTCAGAACGAAAGATACACTAATTGAAATAAAGAACAATTTACAGGGAAACAACAGTAGAGAGGATGAAGCTGAGAATCAAATCAATGGTATGAAATATAAGGAAGAAAAAAACAACCAATCAAAACAAGAAGAAAAAAGAAACATGCCCCCCCTCAAAAAAGGATAGTATACACAGTCTCTAGAAAAACTTCAAGCATTCTAACACTTGCATCCTAGAGGTGACAGGAGGAGAAGAAAAAAGAGCAAGAAACTGGAAATCTATTTGAAAAATTTATGAAAGAAAACTTCCCTGATTTGGTGAAGAAAATAGACATGCAGATCCAGGAAGCACAGAGAGTCACAAACAAGATGGATGCAAAGAGACCCACTCCAAGACACATCATAATTAAAACACCAAAGGTTAAAGATAAAGAGAGAATCTTAAAAGCAACAAGAGAAAAGGAGCTAGTTACTTACAGGGGAGTTCCCATGAGACTATCAGCTGATTTCTCTAAAGCAATTTTGCAGGCTAGATGGGGTTGGCAAGAAATATTCAAAGTCATGAAAAGCAGGGACCTACAGCCAAGATTACTCTACCCAGCAAAGATACCATTTAGAATTGAAGGGCAGATAAAGAGCATCCCAATCAAGGAAGAACTAAAGGAGTTCATTATCACCAAACCATTATTACATGAAATGTTAAAGGGCCTTATTTAAATAAAAGAAGATCACAACTATGAACAATAAAATGGCAAAAAATACAAACCTACCAACAACTGAATCTAAAAAACAAACTAAGCAACAAGAAGAACAGAGACAGAATCATGGATAGGGAGGGCATTGTGATGGTTGCCAGATGGGTGGGGGGTGCTGGGAATGTGTGAAGAGGTGACGGGATTAAGAAGTACAAATAGGTAGTTACAGAATAGCCGTGAGGATGAAAAGTACAATGTAGGAAATGGAGTAGCCAAAGAACTTATACACGCAACCCATGGACATGAACAAAGGTGGGGGAGCTGCCTGAGGGAGTGGGGGGTGCTGGGTGGAGGGGGACAAAGGGGAAAAAATCAAGACAACTGTAATAGCATACAATAAAATATAATTTTTAAAAAAGTTTTATTAACTTCTTAAATATTTCATTCACTGAGTAATTTCTTGGTGTTTAGGGGATAAATCAGACATCCATCTGCTATACCTCACCACTAAGCCACATTCCACATGCATGACAACAATGCAATGAGAAAATCCATTTTTATATCTTTAAAGCTTTCTAACTGAGTCAAGCATATATGAGCTCAAAGAAAATACCTTAAAGTTAGTGTCTGAGGGAGTGTGTGCATGTTCTACCACACAGCCCATGTCTCTGACCTCCACTTTCCACATGTCTCTACCTAACTTATCTTCAAAGCTGTTTTTCTTCTTGCTTGTCTGCAACCATAAAAAGAACTTTAAAATAGGATGATACAGTCATAACTGAAGAAAAGTAAAACATCATCCTCAAGTAGAATTTTCTATATCCACCAAGTGCTTAGCATACATGATGTTAAGTCCTTTCACAATCGCATTTCCCAGAAAGAAACTGAATGCACAAGTCTACTTTCACATTTTCCTAAGACCAGCAATTTTCACATTACAAAATGATGAAATACAGAATCAAATGTAACGAATGCCTTTTAAAATCTCTAAAGAAAATCATATTTTTCCATTAGTATAAAAATCTTACAAAAAAATTAATATACTCCTAATTTCTTCGATCCACTTCTGATTGTTCCCTTACATTTTTTAATGTTGATTTACCTTATATTATTACTTCTCATAAGAGAGCATATAAAATCTAGTCAGTTATGAAACATTGAAGATTTATTATAACTCCATTAAATTTTCTTCTTTATTTTGATATTTAAACTAATATATGACTGCAGGTAATGGAGAAACACATACTTTCCACATACTTGAAATTAGGATATTTTTATGCAGCCAGTCCAATTGACTTTCCAATTCCATTTTTTAAAAATATGAAATCATGATCCTCCACTAATAAAGAATTTGAAATATCTAAGAACATGTTTAAAAATCAAAGATCCATGTAAGTTCGAAAACTTTTTTCTTTAAAACTAGATGCCAACAAGTAGAGGCCAAAAGTAGAGCAACTCATTGTGACTGTGCTGGCTCCCAAAAGCTTGTTTGCAGGTCACTTAATTGGAGTTTGGCATACAATCTCCCATTGAAACCATGTTCTAAATGCTGCTGCTTTTCCCAGGCCTTCCCACAAAAGCTCCAGTAAGTAGCTTAAAAAGAAAATTAACATTAGATACTTGAAAACAAACAAACAAAGAAGATGCTCATACAAAAGATATAAAATGTATCTCCTGAGGTCCCATTCTTATTGTTCAACCCCATGTTTACACTTAAGCTTCCTGTTACCTACAAATAAGTCTCTTGAGAGGGAAACACTGAATTATTTGGTTTCGAGGTCACTTGAAAACTGTATTCCCCACTATTACAAGTTACCCTAGCTCCTTGAAGACAAACTACTGTTGAACCTATATTATAAAACAAACATTTATAACTTTGTATTTACTATTTGTAATGTTCTGGTTATAACTTAGTGTGCCAAAAGCACATCCTTTGTCCCTGAAATGACATTATCTTGTGTTTATTCTTGGCCAACCACTGTTCTAGGTACTGCGAATGAGCTGAAAATCTTTGTGAGGAAAACTAACAAGTGTCAAATTGGAAGGATGACAAATGACAAAAAGAAAGCTATGAAAATCTTTTGGGGGGAAGGGAGGATTGACTTAGTCAGGGTGGTCATGGCCGAGAGGCTTGAGCTGAGATGTTGGCATTAGTAAAACCAAGAGAGGAAAGAAAACGCCCAGCCAGAGAAGGCTTTCCCTGGGGCAGTGGGCACTTGGCAAGTTCAAGGAAGGCCAGAGGGGCCTCCAGCAGGAGGAAGCGGGCTGTAGGGGAGGTCAGAAAATGCAGAATCTTACAGAATATGACAGGCTTTGTCTTTATCCTAAAGTCAATGGGAAAAGACTGAAATACACAGGCAAGGAGGCAGGCAACATGTCCAGATTTGAGTTTAGAAAATAATCATTACCACCTCCATTTCACACCTGAAGAAACAAGCTACAGAAATTCAGTAACCTGACCTACATCCACAGTAGAGTTTGTGACCCAGCTGGTATTCGAACAAGGTCTGTCAGACTCCAAACCTGTACTCTTGCCACACAACATCCCAGAAGCTGAGAAGCAGAAACAAAGGCTGTTTCGTGAGAAGTAAGACTTGCAGACAAGTCTCCCGTCCTCCTTCCTGTCTGTCACCCTGGAACAGGTGTGAAGGGAGACACGGAGCTGCTGTTCGGGTCACCAGGAAAGCCACCAGTGGAGGGGTGAAGAGAAAGGGAAGGTGAAGAGCCCAATGAAAGCAATGTATGGAAGCTTTAACAACGTCTACGCTGACTGACTCTGTAGGGGAACACTCTTTAAGCAACAAATCAAAAAAGGAAATTGGAGTCTCTTCCAGTCATCAGCCACATGCCCTTGGGGAGGTCACTTCTCCTATTTCATATTCTGTTTCTGTAGGACCTGGCTTCTGACTGCTGGGCTAACCTTCGATTTCCCGCTCTCTTCCAATCCCATGTGCACATGAGAGCCTTTATTTCAGAGAAACCTTTCCAAATAACTCACAGGTATTTCAAAATAATATATATTTGCTGGTTACATTAAGCTAAATACTTTTAAGAATTATTGAACTGTTAACCCACTAGTATGTACCAGTAAAATCAGAATGTGATTCTAAAATCTTATTGTTAGGAATATATAATATCTCTTTTTCTTTGTCCTCTCTTCCTGGCTACACCTTACCGCATAGACCAGATATTTCCTAAAGTGCCTCAACAGAATTTTTTTCTTTTGATATTTTTTACTTCAATTTTGTTTGATTTTTAAAAATTCATTAGCATGCCCTAGAAATATTTTAGTTAAATAAGGGGAGAAGCAAACTGAAAATGCACCTAGTAAAAGAGATTATATAACCCACAATCAAACAGAAATTCATATTTGGCTCTTAAATTGGGCCAGCGTGAAAGCAGTCAGTCCTGCAGGTGAGGCACTCTTCTGTAGGGCATCTCATTTCCGACCTCCCCGCTGTGGCAGTTTTAAGTAGACACTGTAGTGTTCTTCTCCAGCCACATATAAGGGTTTCCTAGTGCGGGCTAATCGGCTGATCGAATTTCCTATTCATATCATTAATTTTTCAGATTTTTAGTAGATTTCTACCAAGTCTGTCATATAGTATTAAGTTGACGTGACAATGAGTAATTTTTAAAGAAACTGTGTTGTAATAATCATCATTATAAACAGGACTAAGCAGCAAGAAATCCCAGCTTACCTCCCCAGCAAAGATTTCAGAAGCCTCTTTTACCACCTTGTCCCTGCTCTCAGCTTCTGAAAGTTTCCTGTGATTGTGAACAAATGCTTAGAAAAGAATTTAACATGCCATCTGGCAGTACTTTTTCAAATGGCTTTTGCAAAATTGTCTAAATATGACTGTCGAAATAATATTTTTCAAACTTATTTTTAAAATATATTCCATTTAAGTAGGAATATTCCCTGTATGGCCCAGTTACAATGTCAACAAAGACTCTTAAAAGCTGAGAGCAGATGGGCTTACAAGTTAAGTGTTTAGTGTACTTTAAATATAATGTAAAACTTTATAGTAAAAATAGTTGCGTGTTTCTTTTTAAATAGCACCTCTTTGTTGGTGATCGGAATGGATAGGAAATAGTTGGGTTGATAGTCTTTGTGCTTTTTTTTCCTCTTCTTTATTTGATCTTTACTGATCCGTTCATTTTCTTCACCTTTCTCCACATCTATTTGAGGTGCATCAGTGACTAGAAGAAAAAAGTAAAATGACAATATATCCAATGCATTAAAACAAAGATAATATAGTCCAAAAAAAGAAATAAGCACTATATAAGTAGCAATCATTCATAATTGTCATTTTCAGACCTAAAGCAGGAGTTGGCAAACTCTTCCATAAAGGACCTCACAGTAAATACTTTAGGCTTTGCATATCACACACTCTCGGTCATAGCTACCCAAGTCTGTTGTAGACAAAACACAGATGAATGTGTAGAGCTGTGTTCCAGTAACACTCCTACAAAGCTGATAGCCAGTGTTACTAAGTTCTGACCTAACGCATGACCAACAACTATTCTCACCCTCATGCCACAATTTTCATGAGTAGGAAACATTATTTTTTCATCCGTCCTATACATGTATATTTGTGACCCCTGCAATATAACCACTTGCAGCAATGCCACTCAAGGTTTGGTTTGTGGCCAATGTGACACTACAAACTATTTCTTGTAAAAATTAAAAGACTGTTTTAGAAACTTTCACAGCAATTAGGCAAAATAATTTTATCTATTGAATTTTGGTTTCTACTGTATTGGTCATTTGTAAAGCATTTTTCTAATTTAAAGCATTTTTCATCATTTATTTATTTATTTATTTATTTTACAAAAGTAGCAGTTACAAAATTACGAACGGGTAATTAAAAAAAAAAAAACTTGTCCTTGAACATAATTTGATAAGCACTTAGAGTACTTCCTTTTAAAGTCATCTTTAAAAGACTCATTTACAATACCTAACAATTGTAATTATAAAACTACGCCCCAAAGCAGTGCGAAATTGTCTCCTTTCCTACAGACTCTGTCAGGGGATGTCCAGGGGCATACAAACCCACCATTAACTGAGTTTTCAGGCTGTGTCTTCTTCAACAGCAGCTTACTGTTTCAAAATAGAATGCCCCATCAAGACTTTGTAAAAATATAAATATATTTTCTCAGGTGATTTGGAAAGGGGTGGAAGGGAGGAACCAATTTACCTTACATTTAATCCCATAGGTTGGTTTCATCTCTGGATCAATTCTAATTGACCATAGTGACCACTTACACCCAATTCCTTGAGAAGGGGCCGAGCCGACAGCATGCCCGTGTGCCTATGCAACCCCAACCCTTACCGAGCCTCTTATTTTACATATGATGAAGCAGAAGAGCAGAAAAACTTCTAAAAACCGCTCACTACCACAGAGTGAAGTCTGATATCTAAACCTCAACTCTCCTAGTATACTTTCTACTCAATCAAACTACTTTTCTACTTCAGTTCTGCCTAAGTAGTTATTATTGCACACAAAACCAGAGACATAATCGTCCATACTTTGTTATTCTTTGAAACAATAATAGCAAACAATTTTAAGTGAAGGCCACAAATAGTATTTTAACGCTAACTTCTAAGGAAAATAGAGTATGTTTAAAATTTTTAAACTAAGGGGTGGTAGAAATAGACACGCTTTCTTTCTAGGACTAACATATATTTGTGAGATGTAGAAGACGGGGTAAATAAGAGCAGGTGACATGGGTAACAAGTCCGACTGTGTCATTGTGAATTGAGACAAATATCCTGGCGCGTGTGTGTATCCATTTCACTACTACATTGCTCAACAGCCAATGTGGTTAAAATGATGTATTTCTCAACAATATGCCTAGTGGTTAATGTGGTTAAAAAATTAATGTGCTTAAACAGAGAACACACATATTTGAAATATAAATTATTATTGGCTTCTTTTACACACACGAGCTTCTCAGAACTTTAAAAATTCTATTGCTAAGAAGTAGCCTGCAACATTCTCATCAGTATTATGAGCATGATCTAAATTGCCTCATATGATGCCACTGGGTTTTATTTCCCATGCAATTTTTTAACATGGAAAATCAAATCAATATGTTTGATGAGCTATTTAGAATTCTAGATATCTAAGAAAAGGTCCCATATCTGATTGGAGTAACACAAACTAAATATACTAATTTTAAACCGAGGCCACAGACATGGTAGTAAAGGACCACACATACTATTAATCCACTCCTAAATACATTTCTAGCCCAACTCCATCTGCTCCTAGTACACTGGTACTCTGAAAATGAAAACCAGTCTTAATATTGTCTGGACCCAGAGGGTCTAGGTGGGAATCCTGGCTCCCTGACTTGTTAGTGTGATCTTAGAAAAATCACATGAACTTTCTTTACCTCAGTTTCCTACCCTGTAATTGGAGGGTAATGATAATAGTGTCATTTTGAGGATTAAGTGCGTTAATACATGAAAGCTCTTATACTACTTCTTGGTACAAAATAAGATTATTACTAGTTATAATTGTTAGATATTCCTCAGAACAAAATGTAATTAGGGAGATAAATCTGTACTTGGTAAGATCATTTAAGAGACTTCAAAAAGAAATTGAGATAATTTATAAACTATCCATTGTTTTTTATCATCCAGACCACTTGGAATATGAAAAGCAGTCATAACAGTTTTTTAAAAACTGAATATAATATTGAAAAAAATTTCAAAGGCAAGACACCCATTTTTTAAACTAAAATTACAAACCTATTTCTAAATAAATTCCCAACACCTTTCCCCTTATATCTCATTGCCCAAATCAGGACACAGGAAGCTTGGACAGTGAGTATACGGCAGCTGTCAACCAATGCCAATGTGGAAAATGTAATTCACAGACGGAAAAGGGAAAGGCTGCTGGCAGGGCAACGAGCGTGCCTGCTTCAGACCTGCAGAGGCAGCACTGAATAGTGAAAAGGGCCCTGACCCCAAAACTAGTCTTCCAACAGCATCTTTCCATCAAGTGACTTCATTTCTCTACCTGAGAACTTAAGAGTCTGGCCAATCCTTGGAGATGCAGCTGATTCTAGTTCCGGGGCACAAAACATACCAGAGGACCGTGGACATTCAAAGACTCCCGAGACTATGTCAGAAGGTCTCCAGAGACAATTTGAAAGTCTCGCCATTGGCCACAGATGGGACAATTTGAGTGTCAGATAAAATAGTACTTTCGATGATGTAAAATATCTCAAATAAGTTTAAATCCCTCAGTTCAGAATAATAAGCAAAAATTTAAAATAAAAAACTTAGTAGTTCAGCTTTTGAGGAATCTAAAGAACTGTTATTCTAAAAATCTGATGATGAAAGGGAAGAAAAAAAATCACACATTTATCCTATCTTTTCTTATGACCAAAGAGTCATAGAGGAAATCAAAGAGTTAACTAAGGTAAAGTCCTCCCTTATAGAAATTTTCAGCTAATAAATGCAAAAGGATAGAGTTAAAATAACACCATTTTGAAATACTTGATAGAGTAATGGGTCAACCCAAAGTTCATCGATGAATAATCCATTAGATAGAAAGCTGAGGGGAACTTTCATAATGAACACATCAGATGACACAGTGGAAAGCCACTGATTAATCCTAACATCACAAAAAGACAAGGCCACCAAACATTCGTGTCTCCCGATGTCACACAATAGGGAATTCAAAACACTTTTAATGTGCAGCATTGTTGTCAATATTACAAAATTTAGTCATCTAAGTCATTAGTCATTTGTCATCTTAGACTTAGTCATCTAAGTCTAAGTCATTTAGTCATTAAGCCTCCTAATATAACTACCAGTTTACTGGAAACATGAAGAACAGAAAATTATGTTCAATGACCATAATAGGATACTTCCACACAACATGACTTCTTCAACAATAAATGCATACACTCACATACACACACCAAAAAAAAAAGATCAACAGGTGAAAAGAGATGAAAGAGACGTATCAATCAAAAATATAACATATAGACTTTGGTTCCCAATTCAAACCGGTTTTTAAAAAATTATGACAGAGCAGTTGTGCGCCAGGTCCCCAAGATGTCACTCCCTAAGTACACGCTGTTGTGCCTGGCCATCTTGCCCCCTACCCTCGACCAAGGTGAACAGACTCCATAAACCTAGAAGGTGCAAGCCGAGCAGGTGGCCATAAGATCTTGGCTTAAAAGGGAGTATCTGCTCAGTACAATGACCCCGGCTGCCACGGGCCCATCGAAGGAAGGTCCTGCTTTGACGCGCTGGACATACACAACACCAGCAAGGTCTATCCCAATTTCAGACCCACTCCCAAGACCAGCATTATGTTTTTAAAACTGCCAGAGATAGGAAACAAAAACTTATCCAGGAAGGAATTTGGACGGAACATTTAACATCTCATGTAAAGTCTGGCAATGATGACTATACATATTATTATTTAAATAAATTTTCTATTAATCATATTTAAAAGTTATGACATAGACAAGTGTGAATACTGACAGGATATTTGATGAAATTAGGAATTACTGTTATTTTCTAGTGTGGTAAAATGGATATAGTTTTGTTTTTTTTTAAGATTCTGCATCTTTTAAAGATGCACACACTATGGTTTTTACAGAAAAAAAAATATTTGCAATTTACTTTAAAATAACCCAGTGAGAAAGACATAATGAATATATGAGGCTCATTATAATATTCTACTTTTGAATATGCTTAAAAGCTTCTAGAGCAAAGTTTAAACACACAGACACAGCCCAAGAGCAGGGAAGTTCTCGTTTCTGTGATCTGTGATAAAGGTACTAACTGTCAATGACTACCATCTAGCACATTTGGTGGTGAAATTAAATAAAGAATAATATCCAAACTAAACTTAGCATAGCAGAAAGAGAATCCTAAACCTATAGGTTTTGTTTTCCTTTTTAAAACTGCAAGTATCAACCTACTTGTGGATTATGAAATCATCTTTAAAAATAATAAAAAAGCATTTTTTAAAAACTGGGATGGGATGAAAAAATGGAATAGAATTACTACAAACAGTACATTGTTTATGGTAAATTTAAGTACTGCTTCATGAAATTTGAGTTTTTTGCATACATATGTGTATTGGGTAGGAATTAAAGTGTATTTATTTCTTACTGTGAACATAAGACCCAGAATTATTTTTGCTGTATTTTACTCGATATGAGCAATACTA